ATGCACACTAATGAAGGAAATATTGGGACTGATGCGAGACAAAACAAGGAAACTGTACGCAAATATGTTGCTGGGATGCACATATCAAGATAGAAAACATGGTTGTTTGAAGGAGTTAAGACTCCTATCTTTTGTTTGTCTATAAAATTCTTTTTTTGTTTGTTTTTCAAATTGGTTGCAATAAGCAGGAAAGTTTTCAAGCACACACACACACAGTAACATTAAAGCAAACAGTGATTAAGAGAAATTGGTTATTTTTCTCAGGTTGCAAAGTGCAATTTTCTTAGTACAACCCCAGAGGCTAGATGTATCTTGAGCATGGGTGAGGCTATTCAATGCAATATGGGGGGAGGGTAGTAAGCGTGTTAAAGAAACAGAATGTGAAATGGGCAGGGGTTTTGAAAGGATTGCTGTAGTTTTATATCTTATACAGTGCTTTTTCGGGAATTAGCCTCCAAACTATGGAAATAGCCATGTAAACCTAATTGTTGAGTTGGAATATAAATCTGAATTATATATAACATTTTGGGGAATGTTTAATTAACTTTCACTTGATTTGCAGAATGAAGGTGGAAAATCAAAATCAACTCTAATAAAGAATGAATTGAAGACACTTCCCATGATGCTTTGGAATCAAGTATCCTTCAAGTTAGTTAGACCTTAGGGCATCCACACTGGCCAGCTGTGACTGTTATGTTTAGAATATTATACCTGCATGGAGTAAGAAAGAAAAAAATGCTAACAAATAGTTGGCAAGAGCCTGTATGCTGTGTAACCCATTCATCCACTGAAACGACCTGTCACTCACTTTAACATTTCTTCTGACAACATGGCTTTAAAATGACAGATCATTCATTATTGAGACTCAGAAGCTTTGGGGTGGCGTTATTTCTCCTGAAAAGACTCATTTAAAAACACAGTAGCTTGTTAGGACAGAAAGCACTACGTCGAGAAGAAATACAGGCCCTCTGTGAAGATTTTTACCTCAAGGGTTAAAAGGTTAAACTGGCTTCTGCTAGGGGGCCTCGGGGAGTGGGAGAAAACTCAAGGGAGGGAAGGGGGACAGGGTAAGATGAAGGTAGAAAGGGCAGCACTGGGAATGGAAGGTTTGGGTGGGGAAGAAATTAGATAGTCATGGCAGAGGAGATTTGTAGAGGAATAACCAAGACTAAGGGCGTGTGCAACAGCCTTATGGAAACCTGCTTTACAAATATTAAAAATACAGTTTCAAAAAGTAAGTTTAAAGGAAGGTACCCTACACAGCATGATAATGCTCTTCCCACAAGCCAAAAGTCAGTAAACAAAGCTCTGAGTTCCAGGTGTGGGATTCCCCCCTTCTGCATTGCTGATCAGGTTGCTGCTGTAGGTACCCAAAACAATGCAGTCTATTGATATTGACTTGGGTGTCCACCAGAGCTTCGTGGTAAGACTCTGTTGCTGAACACCATACACTTTGGTCACCGGATGGGGAAGCCAAGCAGGAACTTATCTGGAAGCTTCCTCTCTGATGGTTAGCATCAACAGTGCTGGAAGGTGCCATGAAGACTGCTGAGGAAGACAATTTACCTGTATTCTTGCCTAGCTGTAAACATTTTGAACTGCAGTAACAACCCATAGAACAATGTGAGGTGCACTCTCACCCTGAACTCTTGGGAAAGGGTCTAGGCCCTGCCCTATATGAAATGACAGACTATGGACACCCCCATGGAGGGCCTCACCCTCCCTGGGGGAATGAGGGGATAACGGGGGGGGGGTGGGATGCGGGGAGGGCACGGGAGGAGGGGAGGGAAAGGGAGAGGGACAAAAAAAAAAAAAAAAAAACAATCCACCTGGCAGGAGGTACCCATTGGTGCAATAGCAGCATATATGAGATGGGATAGCCAAGGGCTTTCTGACTGGATTCCACCCCTACTCTAACGGAGGGAAATTATGCCTGTACAGTAAACCTGCTCAGGAGCTGGTGACTGGGGAAATCCCTGGCCCTCGGGAACACACTCTATTGTTTTGTTAGGGGACATGTAGTCCCATTGCCTTCTAAATACTCGTGCTTATACCCACAGATTAGTGCTTCTCAAACCTTATCAGAGGAGGTTTCTACTACAGTGCACAGTGGCTAATGCAGAGACAGTAACCGGAGAAAGTGCTGGTGTCGGGGCTATAGAGTGCTAAAGGTAATGTCTGTATATCACTGGCTCCAAGCTCAGAGGACAATGCAGGAGAGAGGGTGAAAAGAATGTGAGATGGTAAGGTGTGTTACAAAAAACAAACCAGAAACTTCTCTAGGTGATGCAGCTGCTGTAGTTGTGAATTCGTTTCAGCTGTGTTTGCCAGGACAAGCCCTGTACAAGACAGGGCCTGTCAATATTTCATCACAGGTCCCCACTTCTCCCAGAGGGATTACAGACACTTAATGGCAGCTTGGAAAAGTGATGTCACTTGCTTTCCTGGTGTAGGCACTGATGCCCATTAAATAACTTCCCGTCTATGCTCGTACAAACAATCCTAATTAAGGTCAGTGGGCCACAAGCATTCCAAAGGAACATGAGAGAAGGAGGGGCACTTACTGGGAAAAGGAAAGGCCCATAGTGAGGGGAGGTGGAGAAAGGAGAGAAAAGAATGGAGGATGAGATGATGAAAATTTCAAACACATACACACACATATACACACACACACACACACACACACACACACACACACACCTGTCCATGAATAAAAAGTAATTGTAGCTCCGCATTGTGTATGGTGGTGCAGGGCTTCCTCTTCCTTCTCTTCCATCAGTGGAGTGTGTCCGTTATCTCACCGTGTGTTTCAGTGAGAACAACAAAAGAACAGGGCACATACGTTGCAGCCCAGTGATTCTCAGCCTGTGGGTCACGCCCCCTTTGTGGGTAGAATGGCCCCGTCACAGGGGTTGCATATCAGACATTTACGGTTGTGCCCCACAACATGAAGTAGCAACAACTAATGTTACAGTTGGGGGTTCACTGCAGCGTGAGAAACTGTCTTAGAGGGCAGCAGCATCAGGAAGGTGGAGAACCGCTGTGCTAGCATGCCTGCCACGCTACGGCCAGCTCTGCACATGCCATGAGCAGCATGTGGTCTGGAATGACAGAATCTTTGAACATTTTCTGCCTCTTGCATCCTGGCGCCCAGGTTTCATTGCCTGTTCCCACACAGCCAGAAGAAAGGGCACGGAAGAGGAGAGTTCTAGGTATGTACTTAGGAGGAGCTCTTGGCTCTAAAAGGGGAAAATGAGCTGGCTGAGCTTTTTAAGGAGGAGAAATATGACTTTGAACAAAGGGAGGCTGTGAAGTGACAGCACCCTTGTCACTTCTAGGGAGGAGAGAGAAGAGAGGATACAGTGATTGCTAAGCAAGAGAAAGCCTACATCCATTTTAGCACCTTACATGGCAGCATTTTGAATAGGCCACTCAGAAATACTGATTAACAAATACACTGAGGCTGCACCAAAATTAGACTCTCAGGAGGTCTGAGTGGTGCACAAATTATAATAGATCTATTTCTAAGTCACACAGAACCATCTCCTTTTCAACTGAGAAGCATCTAAGACATTACAGATTATGTAGTCTGCGTCAGTGAAGATGGACGGAGGCAGGCTTTCTGCACTGCTGCCTCCAAAAGGATGTCCTCAAACACATGGCGAAATCTCAATTATTTTTCCATTAGCATTCTCTTGGTAAAGACTTTCATTTTCTTTGCTCCTGCTGGCGAGTAGGAACTGCTTGGCGTGCATATTTAAATAGCAGTCATACTGAATTAACTTTAAGATCCAGCTCTTAACATAATAGATGCATTAAAATGTACTGGCAAATGAGAGGGAAGCAGAGACCTCGATGCACAAGAAATCAAAGCGCTAGAGGTAATAAATGTTACAAGTGTCTCAGTGTCTTCTAAGCCTTAGATTCTGGTAAAGGCTCTGAGAACTGATCCAAGAGCATTAATGTGTAGCCAATGGTGTGCTACGCCTGTCTAAACCCACTGGCTGAGGAGACAGTGCCTGACATTAACAAATCATGGGCTTCTATAACTGTTTCCAAGATATGCCTCAAGGAAATCAGCATGTTACCAGTTCTCTTAAGGAGAGAGTGTCTTCTATGAGATTCCAAGATAAACTTCTTGTTATCGAGGGAAGCCATACTTATAATCCAAAGTTCATGCCCCACAGTTCACCAGAAAAATCTATTTAGAGGTAGCAAACACATCTGAGTACATTCATTATTGGTCCATGTGATTAAAATTATTTAAGAAACACTAACCCCAAGAGGAAGGGGAAGTATTTATTCCTGACAAATTAGGGAAATAAAAAAATAAAAAAATAAACAAAAACAAAAAGCCAGCAACTTTGGGCTGAGGAGATGGGCCAGTGTCTAAAGTGCTTGCTATACAAGCATGTGAATAGGATTTTGGGTCCCCGTAACCCATGTGAAGCTGGATGCAGCTGCACACATCTGTAATTCCAGCATGCCCAATAGGAGGAAAGGGGAGTACAGGAGAATCTCTAGAAGCTGGTGAGCCCCACCAGCCTTGTATGCACAGGAGTAAACAGCAAGAAACTCTATTATCTCAAATAAGGTGAAAAGGGAAGACCAACTCCCAGGTTGTACTCTGACCTGCACACAAGTACAATTGCACAAACACCTGCCCTCACACTCACTGGCACATATGAATTATACATGCACACACACACACATACACACACACACCACCACCACCACCACCACCACCTCCACATCTTATACACGCATTAAGAGGGGAAATAACCATTCTGGGGGATTGCTTGACTCCTGTGTGCAGGGTCCCGAGTTTGACACCCAGCACAGCGATAAACAAAATAAAAACTTTCTTTCTCATTTTAACACTAAGGAAAACGGTCATGAGGATTGGCCAGTGCACATCAGGCAGTCGTGATGTGACAGTGACCCCGTGCTTGAAGACGGATGCAGGAATGTCTATTCAGGGGAGCAGGCGGGGCACTTACCACAGATTCACCAGAAAAGGGTGCTCCAGGCCCTGCATGATCTGGAGCTCCTTGAAGACATTCCTCACTTCATTACGCTCCACACACTTCTGTTTATTCATGTACTTCATGGCGTACATCTTCTTGGTATCATTCTTCTGCACGATGCAGACCTGATGATGGGAACCCAGGTCAGCAAACGGTTAGGGAGAAGGAAGAGTGTGACCGAGGGACACAAAGCAGGATTTATTCCTTAGCATGGCATAGAGCCCTTGTCATTCCTCTGGGATTAAAGTTCTTATTTCACTCAGGATAAAGATTTCATTTTCATCCCTCATGGTATTTAGTACATCAATAATAGAATCTCTACTTTCTGATATTAGTTTGCCTGCTTTTGCTCCTGGCATCTTCGAGACAAAATTTAAATCTGTTTCCACGCTAAGAACCTTCTGATGACAAATAGCACCTGAATCCTCCTTTAAGTGCCCGGGATAGATGTGACTAGAGAGGTAAGATTTTAAAAAAAGATACAACAAAAACCACACTAGGCAAAGTGTTTCTTTTTCCAGCATAGGTGACATAATGAAAAACATGAGCATGAAGAAACAGCTCCACAATTGTCCACGTTTTGTAATTCTTTTAGAGGTCTATACAAGCTCCTCAAAATAATAAGCAAATTTAAGATGGAATCATTATTTTATCTTAAAGTATGTCTCCACGGAGAAACTAATAGTAGTCAGAGTTTGAAGACAGAAGATTCCTACAGGAAGCTGAACCATATATATTTTTCATGGTCACATTTTTGGAAATGGTAAATTAGAGAAAATGTAAAAAATCAAGTGGTTTCTTTCCCCAATGAAAACATTACTCCTCACATTAGTAAGATAACTCTTACTGAGGAATTTGCAAAAGAATCTGAAATCTTCACCTACTTTAGGGTAAAGAGACAATTCTCCAGGGCCCCTGACAGTAGACAGATTGGACTTGAACAATGAAATCCTGAGCACATGGCTCGTCTTATAGTTGACCTGCATTACTGGATGGTGACAATTTTGCAAAAGTGTATTCTAAAACAATCCCGAGTTGTCTGTCTTTATCATGGTAGCACTATTCTCTGACTCTGTCCATGACCCATAGCTCTGCAGGTAGTTGGACAATTCAGTTCTTACCTTCCCAAAACTTCCCTTCCCAATGGCTCGCAAAATTTCAAAGTGATCAAAGTTGACTGTAAAGCAAGAGAACGAAGAATATTAAGAGTTACTATAAATTACTTTTAACAACTAATCGAAGAAAGAAGCATTGGACTAACTCAAAATGCCTGGTCTAAAATGACATAGCAAACTATGTTAAAGTACCAACTTATTCACTGAAAATGACTTATTAGCCACTAATCACATTATCCACCAAGCTTAGGTAGTGTTAAGAGGGTGAAAATAGAAAGTTTACATTTGTGAAGCCTGCATTCTAATGACATTATATTGAGTGCTTTGAAAGGAAGTGCTCATAAAGATAAATGGAAACTTAAAAGTGCACTGAGACCTGGGAAGGACAGAGGCAGTGGGGCTGTCTCTAAGAACACAGAGCACTGATGTGGAGACACCGAAGGAGTAGTTTCTGTGATACTAAGTGTAGAGGTGCTCATAGCTTCATAGCTTCATGCAAAGCAGCTATGCTTTCAACTTTTGTTCTGCTTGCCTATTTTGCCCCTATCTCACTCTCTTGTACCGAAACGATTTCAGTTTCCCCAAGTAGTAAAATGATACACCCGTACGTTCACAGAATGAACTCATCTCCAGCTTACAGGTGAGGTCCACTGAAGTGAGCTTTGAAGATGAGATGCTCTGCACACGCTCTTTTGCATTCACGGTGCCTCACGATGAGAAGAGATACCCACTATAAGCACACATGATCTTTCAGATTTAAGCTTATAAAACAATTCCTGATGAGGACAAAATTCAGACTCTTTCTGGCAGGTGGCAATCTTTGGTCTCTTGCCCTGATGACCTTAAGAAAGTGTATTTCTTGGTTTTGAAATGTGGATTTAGACACACAAATTCAAAGTGAGAGATTTAAAGGGTTTCCTAAGGAAATAGTGTGAGACACTAGAAGTGTCTCTCATCTCTTAGAAAAGTTTGCATTAAAATTTTTATGGGGAAGGTAACATGCCATAGCACATGTGTGCAAGTGAGGGGACAGATTGGAGGAGCCACTTCTCTCTTTCCAGAATGTGTGTTCTCTGGCAACTCAGTTGGTCAGTCTAGTAGCAAACACCCTTACCCACTGAGCCATCTGTCCAGCCTTCTCTCAACCTGTGAAGAGCTATTTTCTGTCTTTATCATCAACAATTAGCTTCTTACTCCATGAAGGAAAAAAGGAGATGGTCAGGGACTCCTGAAGGTCTCTGGGTTTTCTGAAGTTCGTACATTTTTATAATCACTTCATCTCTACTTCCTCTCTGAACGTCCTCCTCCACTCCAGCACAAAACCTATTTAACCATGTATGTGAGATCATAAGTCTACTTCTGTGGACTTATGCTTTACAAATGGTTCAGCCTAGACTTGGACCCCAAATAGCAATATGATTTGAAAGGAAAAACAGCCTCAGTTTCTCCAAATGCTCCCCAGTAAAAATCTAGACAAAAACCATGTTTACCTAGAAGGTACAATAAAGCTGTTTCCTTCCTGAAGCATTATTTATGTGAATGACTCATCTATCACAGCATACGTTCCAGGACAGACTGCATGTCATTTTGCACACACTGGATTCTCTGCAGCCTTGGAATATTACCCATGGAGGCAGGTGAAGCATAACTCTCTCTGTAACCCCTGCAGAGTCTAGTATTGTGATTTATACAAGTTTGACTCCCAGGAAATTCATCAAACTAAGTCATAAGGACGTTCAGGAATCCCCAAACAATTAAGTCTTGTAAGTATGAATAATGTGAGCATTTGGGCAATCTCAGGGAACATTTTGCTAACTGTGAGTGAAATCCCGTTAATAAGTTTAAAGCAGGTTTGGTATTCGTAAGAAACATTAAATTTTTAAAAGGAATATAATGGAATGAATGTACCAGAAACTACTCAAATGGGATATGAGTAGAATGTCACCTCTGAAACATTTATTTTATATACGTGGGTAGATATTCAATTTTGGGTACATGCCTTACCTTGAGCTGTCATGAAAATAATTAACAAAATTCTTCTTTATACATCTTCTCTCAAATTACACATTGACATGAGCAAATCATGACTTTTTTACACTCAGTGCAATATAAGAAATTGATCAGAATTTGTCTGCAAACCCAAGATTTTAATCTTGAGCAAACCCAGTTACTCAACATGACCTGTTTCTACTAGTGGCCTAGGAGGCTTTAACCATGTCCCTAATTTCCAGACTTGAAGTCTCATTGTGGCATTAATTTATTTCATAGGCATATCTTCTTCTAAATCATTTTAAGCATTAGCCAAAAATAGAAAATGATTACATGTCAAAATACGCAGTAACCTGTCAAAGGAAAAGCACTAGCGCAGTACCCCAAGGCCAAGTTCTCAGCACAAAGGAGATTTGTTTGTCCCAGAGGGACAAAGAGCAGGGAATAAGAGACAGAGACAGGAGACAGATGAGAGAAAAGGGGAAGGGAACAAAGGAGAGGGGATAAGGGTATTTGTCCCAGAGGGGAACAAAGGACCATCTCTGCATAGAGAGGAGACAGACCTGGCACATAGGAAAATGGCAGTGTATAAAGGGTTGAGGAGAAACCCCATGCTAGGATGGGTATTTATTTTAATTAGGTGAGCCAAAGGGGGTTTCTGATTGATACATTTCAATACTGGATCCTTGTAGTCAGCCTCAGGAGGAGGAGTGGCCAAATAAGGGACTCAACCTTGTGGGCTAGCCTCAGGAATGCAATGTAATGGTTTTTAGCAAGGCAGAGGGAATTGGGGAAAAGGGCTAGGCCAGAGCCAATGCTCGAGTCAGCTAATGTCCCTTCAGTTTTATATTGGAAGAAAACTTCCTAATTTAATGTGCCTTTCCAAATGTCAGTTCTCAGAAAATTCTGAGGAGGAAAAAGTAAAGACAGAAAACACATCTTGTGTCTTATGAATTAAAGAGAGGACAGACTCAGAGATAGTTCTAGGCCACCCAAAGCCCCTCCTCCCTGGAATACAGCCTAGGGAGAAAAGCAGTGGTGATCAGAAGTGCTCTGGAGGCTGGAGAGATGGCTCAGTGATTAAGAGCACTGGCTGTTCTCCCAGTTAACCCAGGTTCAGTTCCCAGCACCCACATGGCAGCTCACAATCTCTAACTCCAGTTGCAGGGGATCTGATGCCCTCTTCTGACCTCTGCGCGCACCATGCATGCTTGTGGTACACTGACAAAACACCCACACCAGTGTTTTTAAATGCTTTTTTTTCTTTTTAACTGATGGAAAGACAAGTTCCAAATTGACTACAACAGTCCTTCTAAATGCCTAACCACACAATCATCAGTTAGAAAGTTAATTTGAAAATACAACCAAACTTCATACATTGTGACACTACCATAATGAGACAGACAAATTCAGAATTGTGGATTTCCAACAGAAATCCCACAGTGTTTTTTTAGGCATATAGTGTTTGTCTTTCTGATTCTAAACACAGGCTCCTCCACTGTCTTCCCAGGCACCATAGTGTTGTTTTTACACATCTAACCACTCCAACTGGAGACCTAGGGATAACAACAGGGAACTTTCCCTCTCATTTAGAATGGTTTGAATCAAATTATACTCCCTAAATATTTCCCTAAATGGAATCTTGCTGACTCTAAGACACATTGCTAACAATGTTATCAGTTTCTTTATTTCTCTTACTCCACCCCTCCCAACCTCAATGTTTTGTGAAACTAACATTATTGAAGGAAGAAAAGAGGACCACCCCCTTTCAGAATTTGAAATAATACCCTGACACTAGGGCTTTGCAGAAGGAGGTTCTAGAAAGTAAAGCGACACATCTTTGTTAGGATATTTTGAGATAACAATATTTGAAAACCTTGATTCCCAGCCTTCGGAAGTAGCAAATCGTGAACATATGTGAGTCTATTGAGAACCAAGTCCCACAAACTGCTTATGTAAATCTTCCTATTGATGATGGAACAAGGACACCAGCTGTGTGACCCTGGACATGTTACTCAGTCTTTCCAAATCACAATGTCCCATCTGTAAAATGGAGCTAATTAAACCCAACAGGCACGATGCTTCCAAGATGAGACACTGTAAGCCAGAAGTGCAGTGTCTGCCCCGCTGAAATCTGAAAATGACAATCACTTTTAAACGTGCAATTACTCAATGGAAATTGGGCCTTATTTTCAAAGTTTCAATTCTGTTCCTACAATGCAACCACTGTTACAAATGCTAGGTGTCTGTTAAGGGTTTTTCTTGGCATGTGTGTGTTCCTTTCTGGCAGCAGAACTGGCAACTAGCAACTCTACCATGTCTGTCCATTCATACAACATACAGAGATCTAATTGTTTTAAGCTGCCCATTTGTATTCAATTGTCTCAAATTACTGCACTTATTGATGAGTATTGAAAGTGATTTAATTACTTACTACCAGTAACACTTCCTCAGATATCCTTGATGGGCTTTTGTGCATGTTTGCAGGCTTACTTTATGCCAACTTTCTAATGTGAAGATGTTGTCAGTAGCCCTGCCAAGATACTGCACCAACCCCCCTACATATCAGTGATATAAAGAGTGTCTTAGTTAGGGTTACCATTACAATGATGAAACACCGTGACCCAAAGTAACTTGGAGAGGAAAGGGTTTATTTGGCTTATACTTCCACATCACTGTTCATCAAAGGACATCAGGACAAGAACTCAAATAGGGCAGGATCCTGGAAGCAAGAGCTGATCCAGAAGCCATGGAGGGGTGCTGCTTACTGACTTGCTCTCCCTGTCTTGTTCAGTCTGCTTTCTTCACAAAACCCAGGACTACCAGCCCTGGGCTGGCTTCACCTACAAAGACCTGGACCTTCCCATATCCATCACCAATTAAGAAAGTGTCCTACAGGCTTGCCTTCAGACCAATCTTACGCAGGTGTTTTCTCATTGAGGCTCCCTCCTCTCCGTTGACATCCTGTGTCAAGTTGACATAAATCTATTCATCAGGAGATAATTTTTAACTTGCCAACACTGCTACACACGATTGCCTTGATCTGACAAGACAAAATGATGGATATATTATT